ATCAGCTCTACCCATCAAATCTCTTGATTTATTAACCAGCCAAACACATGGCGCTATCATCCCGACAAATTACCACGAGTAGTCAGTGCAAACATGTTGTATCTTATCTGATTTGAATTCGGAATGGAGCCAGCGCATGACTGCAGCACAGCGCGCTCTAGTGGAGATGAGTGGCATTACACTCCAACAGTTGAGCGCGAGACGCTCAGCTCTTCAGAAGGCTGTGAGAGAGAGAGAGTAACGTGTGCCAGTATTCCGCTTGTTATATGCCAGAACAAATGCCTTTCTGCTGATTTTGTTCCCGGGGAGGTTATTTGCGATTTTTAAGTCCCTCAGAAATGTGAAGATGAAAAGTCCTGTGAAGCATGGATCAAATAGGCAACAAATAAGGCAGAAATATTCTAATAATCTACTTTTAAACACGCACCAAGATTGTAGAAATAAAATCTTTGGATTCATGTTTCGGTGTAATCATCGAAAAAATGTAATCCTCATTTAATCACTCTAAAGATGTCAAGTGGTGTAACCTAGAAACGTGCGATATGCTTTTCCTGTGCGCTTTAAAAAGGCTACACGTTAATGTAGGCTACACGTTAATGTAGGCTACACGTTAATGCAGGCTACACGTTAATGTAGGCTACGCAACTTTATAGCCTATGTATTTAAAAAAAAAAAATTTTTTTTTGCCTATTTTTTTCTAAATAGAAAAATTTAAAACAAAACGTCATTGTAAAAAAAAAATTTTTTTTTTTAAAAGAATTATAAAGAATAAATTATGCAAACATTTAGCCTATTTCCTCCCTCTCAATAATTTCTGCCTTTTACTCAATTCCCCCCCGTTTTACCTCCAGACAGTTAAACCACAGACATTTTGTCTTCAGTATTTATAAAATATCAAAATGAATTTTAATTCAAAACCTACAAACATGCCAATCATAAAAGGACTATTTTGTATGAATTTTGTGCATTTGCTAGCACAATTAAATCTGAGCAAAACATGAGTATCACCTCGTACACTGTAAAAGTGGTCCGACATAAGACAAAACAGTTTGAGCTAAATAGCCTATAAACGAATCCCCGTGCAAGATGCAACTCTAGTCATGCATTGGTTGTGTCTAAACAGTTAGATGCTTCAGATATCGTTAACTGTTTTTTTGTGCAATGATCCACTGGTTTAACTCCCATCTGTCTACCCATGTCATGTTTAAAATATGATCCTGCTGCAGTGAAACAGGAGTTTAGGAAATAAAGCTGATTATGGTGTGTAAAAAGCGGGGTGATAACCAGCCCCACACCTTTTAATCAAAGCTGTTTTCCCCGGGGTGCAATTTTCACCATTTCTTGTTCGAAGTCAAAGTGATAAGGAACAATTCAGCAGCCCCAAATAGCAATCATCTTATTTGAGAAGATTTGTGTCTGCCTCCAACAACCCCTGACAATTTAAAGGTTATCTTTGCTGTAATAAACTGCAATTGTAATAAATAAACCTTTCGCACGTTGTCAAAGGCAATGCACGAGAGCAGATGCAAGTTAATAGCAACACATTATTTCCCGCACTGTTGATGCATATGGGGACGCTTCTGCTGGGCAATTAGCAGATAATGGAATGAAAGGCAGGTATTGTATTACATTCATGTGAGGGACAGCGCGTGAACTCAGGTGTACAAAGCCCGCGCGCCTTCCCGCCAAATCAGAGGAAGGAATCGACACGTTTTCTCTTTTAAAAAGGCGGCTCTCTTACACACGTTTGAACTTTTAGTTGATACAAATGTTATCTATATTTAAAATGATCTATATTATTTAGGCTATATTGTTGAAACAATTATTTACCTATTTTTTCAATCCTAAAAATGATAATTATTTGTACCCGTTTTTAGCCAAAACATTCCGACATTCTTAAAAGGGGACAAATAGGCCTAATTAGAATATTTATATGATTTTTTTTTGGGAACATTAAGGTTGACAAGCATTGTTGCATTATATGAAAAACAACTAAATAAGTTAAGTAATCTTGATCTGTTGGAGTAGGCAAGCATTTAAAAACAAAACAAAAACAAATTGTTACCGAATACCGAGTTTCGGATTATTATTATT